GCTAGGTGTGTTAAAGATTGGTTGGTGGCAAACCCATTTTACTCCTTGCAGGAGTTTTGGAATTCAGATACCCACACAATGAATTAGAAAGAAATAAAGAAAACAAAAATACATACATATATTTATATTACCTAAACCTTGCCTACAGGTATGAGTGTGGTTTTTAAGTTTTCCGTTTTGCTTTTTCTCTGCTTTGTTAATTTTTATATTTTTTTTCTCCGCTGCTTGTTTTACAGTTTTGTTTTGCAGTTTTTTTTTTTATTTATTTATCTATTATGCATGGTGTGCTCTTTGGACATTTGTATGTGCTCTTTGGACATTTTGTTTTGTAAATCAAGAGGAATGCATCTCTGTTTTGTATTTTAGTTTAGTGTTAGTGACTTGGCCAATTGTTATAAACCGAACGGCTCAATAAATCTTGAATCTTAACCCGAGACAACTGATGCTACTGAACTTTTCCGCTGCCAGACCACTTTGTGCAGACGATAACCACCATCTAAAGAGACGTATTTTTTGGCTTCTATTAGTTTGTAGGAGAGAGGAGAGAAAGCAGAATAGAGTGAGGTCTTTTCGCATCCCATACAAAGACAAAGGGAACCGGCCATTTTGTACTTGAAGTATTCCTGTAAATAATTTTCTGACTGTTTAGTTATGCAAACTCGCTGAAATATTGTAACTGGATCAATAACTACATTATTGTTGGACAGTTTAATAGATCTTGTGTGTAAAGCCAATGTTGCCACTTGGTCCGTTTAAAAGCTACTTTGTCAAAGGGTTTTCCAACGATGAGCTTCGCTCCTTTGTAACGAGTTATTTTTCCTATGGTGTAAATATTTGCTATTTGGCCGCGCACCTATTGTTGGCATCAACTAGCGGCAGCGGCGAAGCGAGCTAGCGCCCTTTGACCCGGCTTATCAGTTCCGATAAGCCTCCGGTATCCTAGATTTTCAGGATAGCCTAGGACGGACATTCGAGTCGTGGATCCCGGGCAGTGAGGATAGTTCGGTGTCTGGTGTCGACGACAGGTGTACTGGAGTACATTGGTGGTGTGATATTGCCGAGTGTTGGTGTTGAATTGGGTGTTGAGACCCACTAGTGGTGAGTGGACGACGTTCCTTGCATTTTGGTTTAAGAGTTGATAGTTAATACTAAAACATTCATCTCTGATTTTATTGGTTAAGCTGTAAATGTGCTGGTCAAAGCCTGACGGTAGCTAGGATGTCAGGAATAATTGTACAGTATATACCTGACGGTTCTGGGCAAGCTCTAAATCGCAAATAATATAGTTTATCGACTCTAGTAGATATTATTTTGCGTTGTGTTAAGAGTTAATTATATTACCGGTAACTCTGAGGCCCAACAAACCTAGGCTGCACGATTTGGCGTTTGTAGTTGGAAGCACACGGCCAGTAGGCTAGTAGCTAACTTTATTAGCCTATTAACAGAAGCCCAGCTAACTATAATATAATATTGATAGTAGTAGCAGTGGCAGTAGTAGTAGGGTTTTATTGGTTAATCATTTAATAATTTTAATTTTAACCTGAACAGCTTGGCTAGTAATCCAACACGTTATCTTGGTAGCTTGGATAGCGGAGTGCCGGCTATCAGATAATATATTCATCTAGTGTTTCCAACGTATTTAATATTTATTTCTCTGCTACTAAGTAGCTCAATAATTTAATAGTAGTGCAATTTACATTTAGTTTTGCTTGTTTGGCTTGGTATTTTTTTTGAGACCAGCTACTAGAGGTTTTGTCACTCTGCCTATAGTGCACTTGGATTATTATACGGTATTATTACTGAGTGAACTGTTTGATTGTTAGCTTGGGCATTAGAGTCGTTTATTGGATTATAGTGGCCGAGTAGACCCCGCCTGGCGATAACTCGCGTTGTGGTTTTTATTGGCAAGTCGTCGTGTAACTCTCTTTGTTTTAGGCACTCTGGGCTTAACTATTGGATAGTTAGAGCGAAGCCCGAGTTGTGTAGTCAGCAACGACCCCCTAGGAGAGTGGAGAATCTGCTTAGGCCTAGTGGTGATTATTGTACGTTTGTTTTGGTGACTTGTTTTCGACTTTTTGTAATCATACCGTTATCGAGCTATAGTCGTTTCAATGCATAGCGCGTTCCGCCATCTTTGCCCCCCTCCCCCCAAGTTCCCGACCACCTCAAAAGTAGGCAACATGTGTATTTTTTATCACCACAGTCCATACTACAACTATCAGCAAAGATATTTCATATTACTTCTTTGCGACACTCACAAATTAATTCTAGGCCTACTTTCGGTAAAAAAACTACACGAAAAGTCCATTTTTACATATTTTATACAATAACTTGTTTATTTATAGAGATACGACCTCGGACCTAATAATTATTATTGTAGTCCACATTTTTAGAATTACAACGACGTTTTAACCGATGTTCTATCTTTTACCGTTTTCGAAATATCGGCGTTTTAACGCATAGCGCCATGTTTACCCCCTCCCATCCCAACCTTATTGACCACTTTTGTAATAGGCGACATACGTCATTTTGGTAATCAGCAATAACATTGCGTACTACTTTCATGCATGCTCAAACCCCCTCAGCTCCTGGACTACATATCCATATATGCTGTTCCCCAGTGGGACAAAGGATAAGACAGAAGCTTTTTTAATACCTCACATATGTTTATCATTTAACTTATTCCCATTGCCCGCTTTGCCAAAACACTGTTGAAAATTGCATGTCTCTCGGTCAACCCATCCTCTGATAGATCGTCAGATCTTACCATAAACCAGAACAAAACTTTTCTGATCAGCTGATCGGGTGTTTTTGGTCAACGTTAACAACAACATGCAACAGGAGTATAAACTGTAAATAATTTTGATAATTTATTATTTCCACACTGTTTTTAATATCCGTTGATCACGTTCCATATTATCTACCATTTTTGAAAGGATCGTTGGGTCTATAAGTGCTAGCTGGGGCTCAAATGAAAGCTAATTAAATTATCTTTAATTTACTCCTGTATATATTTTCTTGTGGATGAGAATTTTTAACAATTTGACGCAAAATAATTGACCATGACGAATCTTTTTAACTTTTTGAAAAATTTCTATAGTTTTTAAATTATTGTATATTCACTAATAATAGACGTACTGGAGTCGTTAGTCTCAAAATTTTGCGAATTTTATCCAGTCTAAGAAAGAATAAGGCAACACTTTCTGTCAGAGGCATACTTTAGGAGATATTTAGCAAAAAGTGAAAAGAGTGTAAATTTTTATGGTTTTTTGACTACTACGCCGGTAGCAGATAAGATTAAAAAATATAGTTTTCTTTAATTTACCCACTGTCATTATAAAGGAAATTTTGTAGGCCTACTGTTACAAAATCCACACCAACTAAGAATGGTATTAACACGTTGACTGCGCTTGCCGACTTTACAGGCGCTCCCCAGTGGCGGGCGAAGCCCCGGCGTGCAACCGAATCAGCGAACGCAATTGGCATTCAAATATTTCAGTCAGACGAATCACAAAAGAGCAGTGGTGACTGGGCTGCGTTACCCCGAGAGTGGATGTAGTTCACTGAAACACCCAAAGGTAGCAGCACTGCACGGATCCGTATCCAGTGTCTTTGTAATGTGGGTTGAAGAGAAAAAATCCCCGAAACCGGGACAAAAGCATTGCCAGACAGGATTTTACGGGAAATTTTAGTACCAACCTACACCAAAGTAAAGCTCGCATTCTAAGCTGGCAGGCTGGCAACGATTATAACGTCTCCGTCTGAGGCTAAGCTCACACTGACTCAATATATTTCTGTTGGTCTGGTGCCGACTTTTGTCGGCGCGCGCCACCTGGGAGCGCTGGCGACGCCGACTAAAGTTGGCACGCGCAGTCAACGTGTTAAACTTACAAAACTAAGGTAATAAACTAGGTGAAAGGTAGGGAATCAAATTCAAGTTTTAGAATAAATCTCTTTACGAGTATTAAACTTTATGGAAGTGATGATCATGTTTCGGTGACCGCAAAAGACGATGATGACGTATACATGGCCGTAGGATATATTCATGATTTTGCCGCAATCGTGGACGACGACGTTGACGTTACTCGGTGACCCCGCAGGAATGGATAATTAGTATTGTCTTCTACAATCGCAGCAAAATTCTGATTCATTTCCCACGCCCCAGTAGACATCGTCATTGTTTCCTGCGGTCACGATAAACTCCTGAATAACCCCCACGGTAACCGAACACCATCATCGTCTTCCACAATCGTGGCAAATTTCAATCATTTTCCACGGTAGTGTAGACATCATCATTGTCTCCTGCGGTCACGACAAAACTCTGAATAAACCCTGCGGTAACAAAACGTCATCGTCGTCTTGCGTGATCACGGCATCAGCAGTAACTTTCCGATCGAGCAGATCTCCGCTAGCGGTATCATAATCGACTTTTAAGCGGGCGATTCTCGATTCTGATTCAAAAGTCGGAATCAACTTTTGAAATCGATCCATCTCAAATTTAAATTACAGTAGCCTATTTGTTTTAGTTTCTGTTTCTGATCATTGGGCTTTAAATAAATTATCCCTGTCAGTAACAAAGCTAGCTACACAGATCATTAAATTCCATTCTACACACATCCTTCTCTCATATTTGGGTTAAAATAAGCGCATAGGTGGCGTCCCCATCTGAATGATTGATTGATTGATACATTGTTATTTCATAACCACCATTGCAACCCATAAGCTGTTTTAACTTATATCATGTTGTTAGTTTTAAATTGAATTGGAATTATCAAATTGAAATGTATTTGTTAAATAACATTCCAACTGTTTTTCAAAAATAACCTCTGTAAGAATGGGTAAAATATGTTCAGCCATTATTGTGTAAAGCGATTACAAAGTTTATATAATGCTGATCTCTAGGAGCTTCGTTCAAAAACTAGAGGAAGCTCAGCAGGATTTCTCTAATTTTCAAGAATTTCTTCATCGCATAAATCACTATCACTAGACTGCAAATATACCTGAATACTATAGGAGCAGGCACACAGAATTTGATGAGTATTTTCTTGATGTTGTCATGAAGTGTCTTTTCATCTAGGTACCATGAAGTTTGTTCGTTTGCTGAGGCACCAGCCGTGGGATCTGGAGCTCCACATACCTAACAAAGTTGTCAATTAGTGAAATGAGCTTACAGGTGTACAGTATTAGGCCTTATTCCAGAAATTTGCTTGTTGAACCCTAGTTATCACACATTACTATCTAAAAAAAAAAAAAACCATCAAAAGTTATATTTGAACTAGGCCTACCCACATTGTTTCCACACTAATTATGTATGGTACAATAAATTAGTAATATGTCTGCTTTCATAAAATTTATAACTTAACAATAGTGCAACCAGTTTCAACTTCTTTCAAAGTCAACATCAGGTCAGTACTATGTCTTGTCCCTTCATTTGAAGGTTGTCAACATTAACAGTCAATAAATAAATAATTACACAAAAGCAGACATTTAACACATGAACATTAACACGTTCGCTACTGAGCGTCGCATATATGCGACGCCGCGGTCATTGCCACAGACCGGGGTATACATTTGAATCTTACACATAGACCGGCTGTCACTTGGATAACAGTACACACAGACCACAGGCGAAAACCTGTAAAACACTGATCATTTACATTGTAATACGCAACAATTGTGTTTGTAAATAAATTATTCTTGTTTTTTTGTACTTTTTATAACCTTTTGTAATGTCGCATATTTGCGACGCCTGGTCTACAGCGAAGGCAATAGTGAAGATTATCATAGTTTTATTGAAATAGACTAAACGTCGCATATATGCGACAGTTCATTTTTTTGTGGTTTAAGGTGAAAGTAAGTAAAAAAATAAACAGATTATTCAAGAACAGTTTATAACTGAACAAATATAAAAGCTACATAGGATTATGCAGCATACATACTGCATACATACATACAGTGGTGCAGAAAAGTAAAGACCAGTTTTTCCAACTATTATATGACGTCACCAATCATCATATATCCACAGACCAAGCGACGCAGTTGTGCGTCAGACATCTCTGTAGACCACTGCAGGGAATTCAGTGCCTTCAAATAGACCGTTACAAAGATATAAGCATTTTCATAACATTAGAACCCCGACGCAATGCGACGGCAGTCTATGGGTGGAAACCGGCCGTCGCATATGTGCGTCGCTGGTCCATGTGAATGGAAAATTTCGTACTATTGCAGTAGCGAACGTGTTAAAGCGACATAGTCAAGTAAAAACAATGATTTATTTTCACATAAACTTTTACAATTGAAGCAGCATAGCAGGTTAAATTAATTGTCAAATTCAATTACAAAACAACTTAAAACAAGATAGAACAAGATTTACAAAAGAATTTTGAATAGGTCAAAGTGATCATTTAGGAAATCTTGCACACTATAATATGCTTCATCTAGGCCTATAAGAAACTTAGACATATGTGTTTTTAATTTGTTTGCTGCGGCCCACCAATGGCTCAGGTGTAGACCCGGTGCGGCGCAGCGTAGAACGAACCTGTTTGGATCTAAAATATTTTGGTCTGACAAATAGCAAATGACGTGCGGTGATGTGATGCGTTACAACAACAGTCAACGTAATTTGCTGAAACACTCAGAGATAGCAGCACTGTTTGGAACTAGCCAGTCTCGCTGTATTGCCAATTGGAGGGAGATAGACGGGACAACAAGTTGATTTCCAAGCTTGCCAGAAGGGGATTTTACGGGGAAATTTACTACCAACCTACACTACAATAAAGCACCCGTTCCTAGCTAAACACAGACATAAAAATACATGTTCCTCAGACTGGTGTGCTGCTGTGCAGAAATTAAATGGAATGTAGGCAATGCTGGCACTTGCCGGTGAGCGGAGGCAGAAAGGAATTAGAGCACACACCGGGGAGTGGCCCGCAGCGAACGTGTTAAATGACTGATGAATTAATTAGTACATTTAATATGCACTAGCAACTTATCATAATTTTTTTACCCATGTCAGGTTTCAGAAAGTGTCAATCTAAACAGTTGAAAATTAATTCGGTCACTGAATAGGTAGCTATGGTTAAAATTGTCATTCATAAAGATTAGATTTTTTTAATAAACATCAAAGTTTGGAGAATGTACATTAAAGATAGAGTTAATATTTTTTATTCTTTAAATAATAATTTATATGACTGTCTAAGTTTAAAGTGAGGTATACATGTTACATATAATCTGCAGGTGACTTACAGAGTTGATGGCGGAGGGCTGAGATGAGAGGAGCTCGTCTAGTAGTCTCTGAGCAGTGGGCAGTATCTGCTGGGGCAGTTCACTGATGAGGTACTGAGCAAACTTCTGCAACTGATCCCTCTGTAGTCTAGACAGCGACTCACTCACTGGTGCTCGCAGACACACTTGTGTTGGCTGAAACATAACAGAAATAGGCCAATGGTATAGCACTACCCCACACAACCGGCTACGTAAAAACATGATTTAGTATCAAATTAAATCTGAACTGTTATCACAACCTCTTATTTTAGACTAGTATCTCTAAGTACCTGATGAATCCTGTGTAGACATACTGCAACAATGTGTGAACACCAGTAAGCAGTAGAGTTGCAGGTACAGTTGCATGAGGTAATGCGTCTGCGGTCAAATGTTACAGCTACATTGTACGTGCTTATACTGGCCGACACACTTGCACTGAGGTGAAAGCCTGAGTCAAACAATGAGAAATTAGTGTCTAACAAGTAGAGTCCAATAAATCACTAAATTTTATAAACGAAACCATTATAAACTTATAAACAGATTTAAAGCTAGATTTATTTAGAAAGATATTTCATTTTTTCTTGTTAATCATTATTGAGGGAAAGTAATTGTCTGAAGTTATTATGGTAAGACTATGGTCTACAGAAAAAATTGTATTCATTTTTACATCTCCTGGTACAAACTTAAATACCCCAGGCCGCCGCAGTAAACCTGCCGATTACGCGAATTTCCTAGGAAGGGGCCTCACTTGGGTCTCAAAAACATATTTTCTCTAGGAAAATAAATTTGAATATAATAATCTGTTCTCACAATTGCCGCAGGCGTCTGCAAAGATTGCACGATCGAAAATCACGGATCGCGGAAGACGATAATTAAGGTCTCGCAACCGCAAAAGATGTTCCGTGTTCACGATTTTGCCGCGATCGCGGGGGCCGATAATGTTGTCCACGTTTGCGGGAGATGTTAACGACTTCCGCATGTAGAATATATCCTTGCGTCCGCGAAAGATGTTCACTATTCCACCGTAAACATAGGAATGATTTCTCCGCCGTCTCGGAGATAACCTGCACGACCACGGGAGACAGAGATTACGACCCCGCAAACACGGACGCTCTCGATTTTGTCTTCACCGAGTACAATATCGTTCATTTTTGCCCCGATCGCAGAAGTCGTTTGGACCACTAGTTCCGAACAATATAATGATGATCATAATATAACAATTAATTACAAAATATAATGTATAATCTAAAGATAACATAATAATATATTTTATAAAAAAATAGTAGTCCTTTCTCCTAAATAAAAAAAATTAAAAGAAGTGACAGAAAAAACCCCGATTTGTGTCACTTCTTGTTGTGCTCGTGCTCATTACGAATCTCCAACTCATAAAAACATAAAATGTTAAAAGCTTAAAGGAAAATTTAATTTAGCATTCATTCAATTTTTCTCAAATAAAAGATAGATTACTTTTAAAATAGTTGCAGTAAGCTCATTTAATCAGTGATACAAAATACATTAACATGTTCACTACTGAGTGTCGCATATATGCGACGCCGCGGTCATTGCCACAGACCGAGGTATACTTTTGAATCTTACACATAGACCGGCTGTCACTTGGATAACAGTACACACAGACCACGGGCGAAAACCTGTAAAACAGCGATCATTTACATTGTAATACGCTACAATCGTCTTTGTAAATAATTTATTCTTGTTTTTTTTTTTGTATTTTTTATAACCTTTTGTAATGTCGCATATTTGCGACGCCCAGTCTACAGCGAAGACAATAGTGAAAATTATCATAGTTTTCTTGAAATAGATCAAACGTCGCATATATGCGATGGTTAATTTTTGTTTGTGTTTTGAGGTGAAAGTAGATATAAAACAGAGTATTCAAGAATAGTTTATAACTGAACAAATATAAAAGCTACATAGGATAATGCAGCATACATACTGCATACATACATACAGTGATGCAGAAAAGTAAAGATCAGTTTTATCATATCCACAGACCAAGCGATGCAGTTGTGCGTCAGTCATCTCTGTAGACCACTGCAGGGAATTGAATTCAGTGCCTTCAAATAGACCGTTACAAAGATATAAGCATTTTAATAACATTAGATCTCCAACGCAAATATGCGGCGGCAGTCTATTTTAATGTGACTAGCCGTTGCATATATGCGACGGCAGTCTATGGGTAGAAACCGGCCGTCGCATATGTGCGTCCCTAGTCCATGTGAATGAAAAATTTCGTACTATTGCAGTAGCGAACGTGTTAAAAGCATATATATTTCTTTTAGTTCTAATCTCTGTTTAGGGTTACTATTTAATAAACACCAAGGTACCCTGTTGACAATTATTTTAAACATAAAATTATTTTTAACAGGGTACTATGGTATATATTATTTCACTTATATATATGTTTGTAAAAACGGCCCTATCATCTATAGCCGCCCCAGGCCCCCTACTATGACAGTACGCCACTGTTTAATAGCTATTTACATTACAAGTGTAGTAAGAGCGTTTTTACATCACGCAGGTGAATGTTGTGCAACGAGCGAAGGCGAGTTGCATAATTCACCGAAGTGATGTAAACACGCTCTTGCGTAACGTGTAACGTACAAGATTTTACCTGACCCGACAATATTCAGGAGGTTACGAGCAATATGCTTCATTATCAATTTCACTCATCTTCTAACAGTAACGTTCATTTACAAACAAAAGCTAGGTTAGGAAAATTCTTCAAAGCATAACAATAAAATTCAAACACACAGCTGATTTCTAGCGTTGAACGTTGTTGGCTCCATAGAGGTATATTTTTTAAGTTATCCACTCAATGTTATTTAAATGGGTTTCATTACATCACCGAGTGAGTTTTTTTAAACTTTACATCACTCGAGAAGTAAGGAAGTTGTATACATCACGCTTGGGATAGGGAAGTTTAACATGGCGGGTTAGGTAAATATACTTAAATAACATTAGGTCTAACAAGTACCTAGGTTTGCTGCTACAAGGAAACTAATAAAGTGTATTTTTAGTAAAATATTAAAAGCTTAGTACAAAATAAATAAATTTGCCAAGTTTGATCAAAATACAGTAGACTCCCTCTAGTTCGGCTTCAGTTGGATCTGCCGCCGGATGGACAAGTCATATCGTCATGGGTGAACTGCCTTCGTCATGATTCAACTTTAATGTTTAGTTTCCGGCCATAGAAGTAAACAATTCATGTCAGTTTAGTTGACAGGTGCTTCTATGGGTGAATTGTTGCATATAACTATGTAAAACTATGTTACATAACCTCAAAAATACCGAGAACATTTTATAACAGATTTTCTTTGGTCTAATATGTTGAAATGCAGTGTAAAATTAAATATTTCGGACCATTTTTTTATGCGGTAGGTTCCTCCATTATTGTTTTTGAAACACCACGGTTTATTTGACAAAAATAAATTAAAGTAAAACAAAGAAATAGCCATCGTTGCTTCAAGGTCAAGCTATCCACTTGCACTGACAATCATCTGCTCTTTACACAACTGATGTCTGCTGTGCGCTTGCTATCTCACATCAGTTTGTGATTGGGTGATTAGTAACCATGGCCACTGGTTGAATGTGTGGATGAAGAGAAACCAAAGAAAGAATAGAAGAACAAAGAAGAAAGAATAAGCGGAGTTTTACGTCATCCATTGTTATCTTTATCCTATTTTACGACTGTCATTATGATTTTATGCTGTTCTATGAGTTGTCTAATGTTTTTATCAACATTCTTATGTTCTGAAACAACATGTAGTAGTAGCCTATGCTGACTACGGTAGCAGTAGCTTGCAGTACTAGACTTTCTATTGTTTTGTTCTTTACGTAATTTATTGCTGTAAGTACAGTGTTGTGTAATTTTTGTTTTGCTTGAGTAGGCGTGATTTTAAACGTTACAGTTTTTATTACTGAACCAAGGTTATGGACTTAACATATCACGATTGTGCAATACTATTATTTGTATTTTGAAACAACATTTTATTGCTTACGAAAACTATGATAACAATCATTTGAATTTCTGTACAGTATAGGCCTAATGAAATGTTGTTTAATGTATTATTGTGAAAAATAAACAGTGATATGAAACAGCAAACAACCGTACAGTACAATATCAGACAATGAACAAAGATAATCACTAAATACTGTACGTGTACAAAATGAAAATTACAGAACTTTAGGCCTACTGTAAACTTTACATGTAAGACCTACTTAAACAACAGCAAAATAGTTTGTAATATTTTTCTGCTTCTTTGCATTAAAAGAAAGTTTTAAAACATTTTCCAGGAGCCTCTTTAGTGTCATAATATCGGAAGCCGAAGCACCGTTTTCTTCCGCCCAAGTTATTGCAGTTGCGTAGGCACAGAGCGCCGAATCTGTGTTGACTGTGTGTGCAGCTGCAGCTGTCGATGTCGACGTACTGGCTCCGCCCACTCCGCCCTCCTCGTCCCCCTCCTCCACGTCACTGCCGTCTAGAACATCTTCGATGATCTCATCGTCTGTCATAATTTGACACTGCTCGTCGTCTGCTCCGTCTAACCAGGCGGTAACATCGGCTGATGTCAGATCTTCTGGATCATCTACTAACTGTTCGGCTATTGCTTCTCTCAAGTCATTTAGCTCAGCATCTGTTGTCAATGTCGTTTGAGGATTTGATTGTCTTCTGTGATCCTCTAATAAATCAAGAGAAGGCCACAACTTCGCCCATGAACAAACAATTGTTTTTGTTGCAAGTCTTTCCCATGCGCTTGCAAGATTAAAAACAACATCTTTTAGGTTGGTTTCCTTCAGAGCTGTAACAACACTCCCCTCTTTTGACAAAACACTGTACAAAAGGGTTTTTTTGTAATTCGTTTTTATAGTTTGGATCACATTTTGGTCCATGGGCTGGAATATCGGAGTTACATTTGGGGCAAAAATAAAGCAGTGATTTTTCCATCCCTACTTTTTAACTCATCCTCATCTGGATGTCCAGGACAATTATCGAGCAACAAAAGGGCCTTTTGAGGCAGTTTTTGTGCTTTCAAAAACCTTTTTACTGATGGTACAAAAGTTTGATGGAACCATTCTGAAAAAAGAGTTTTTGTCATCCATCCTTTTGTCGAGTTTGTGTATGTAACTGGCAACTGTGTGTTTTTGAAAGCCCTTGGCTTTTTGGCTTTCCCAATAACAAGCAATTCTAATTTATGCGTGCCACTAGCATTACAACACGGCATAAAAGTTACTCTATCTTTGGCCAACTTGCGACCAGGGGCACTAGCTTCCTCTCTATGAACGAATGTTTGTTTCGGCAAAAGACGCCAAAACAGACCACTCTCGTCAGCATTGTAGATCTGATCTGGGCCTAAGTCCATTTCATCCACGATTTCTTTAAATTTTTCAATAAAAGGTTCTGCAGCCGCTACATCACACGAAAGCCTT